AATTATTTGCCTCAAACGCGTCCTCGGTGAGTTCTTCGTCGGTTCGAGAAAATTGGCCGCCCAGCTCGATGAGAGCAGTACATGTCGCGCGCTTATTCCGATACGTGAAACTTGAATTACAAGACGAAACGAATCGATTGGATGAATAATTCAGGACCGGATAATTTCAGGTGTTGGATGAAAAATACGCAGCAAATGCGTGTTAAATTGAATTTCTTTGAAATACTACTTTTTTTTTTTTTATCGTAACTCTGATAATGATTTTCTCTTGGAAATGCAACAAACGATACGCAGAATTTCATCGCAGATATTAATTTTTAACTCAATTTTTTTAGACGTGCCCTGAAACTTTATCGAAGCGAACGCGCCGTAAAGCTTGCTATATGGTAAATTACACGAAAGAGGAAATATCTGAAAGAGATATAATCTATCGGTATATCCGCAATTCAAATTCCCCATACATTAAAGTAATTAATTTCTCCGCGGAGCTGTTCAGATTTCTCGATTTCATGACTCGATTTATTTTTCAAGTTTAACTTGCAAATAGACGGCTCGAACCAACTCTTATCTCGCAATTTCGATTGAAACCTGCGTATACAGACACAAAGGCAGTCACGTACAAGCATACGTGGGAGCCTACTAGTATTCAAAGCAGGATTTACTTGGATTACGTTCTCCGTCGAATTGCAGAACCAGTTCCCGAAATAGCTATATCGCTTTACGTACATATTCGGTCATTGAAATATTTCAAATTACTCGTAAAATTTGTAAACTTGAACGAAAATGTAATTTCCAGACGTAATTTTCAGAACCAGAGACCATGAAACTAATAGTTGACAGATCCAATGATTTTCTTTGAAATTTGCGTGCACTTGACAAAATTGTTTGCTATTTTTTTAGTGTTAGATACAAAACGAACCACCAAGTATTTCATATATCAGGATTTTTTTCGACTCGAAGGATGGCGTTCTTCGTTAAGGGTATTTTCGAGTCCTACAGGTATCCAGCTACCTATCGATCGGAAGTTCGCGCAACGTAATACGCAAACACTTAAGGGATGACCCGACAGTTCTGGTTAGTTTGCAAACGCCGCGAGAACCCTTCGAAGATGTTTCACCGGGACGTGGCCGGAGCTGACAAACTCGTTGGAGCGTTCGGTGACGCGCGTGCCGACCCTCCGGAGACCTCTTAAAGTTCTCTTTCGCCAGGTAATTAGGCTTACCCCTTATAATGGAACGAGACTTCTGTAATGAATTAATTAACTGATACGAACTTAAGTACACCCGCGAACTATAGGGACAGATATTGTTAAGCGACGCGGAGGTGGAAGATTAGACGACGAATATTAAAACTGAAGCTAATTTTCCCCTACGTGGTGTCCCGTTCCTCGTAATTAAATATCGGAAATCGACCATACCTTATCGCTGATATACGAATTCGTTAACATCGATTTCATCGAAACCAACAACACGTACCATTATTTAAGAAGTTTGGAATATCAAAGTTCGATCTGTGTACCGTACAACTATCGACTCTTCTTTCATGAATACTTTTAGATTCGTACGTACAAGTTGTTAAGAACAACATTTCAAGATCTTCCAGAGAAGATTCCCCGTATCGGAATAACACGCGATGATTTCCTCTTTCGTTCTTATTTCTTTTCAAGTTTCGAGTGGAATAACTTCACGCTTCGTTTCTGATTAATTAGGAAATGCAAATGCTGCAGTATAACTACAAGTGCACAAAACGATTAACAGAAATTCTTGGAGTTAAGTTCGAAGTAAAAAGGGGTCGAACACCCTTCGCTCGGCGTTAATGGATGCCGTGTCTGGCGAAGACTCGAACAATCCATCTTTAAATAAGAATAACGAAGTGGCCATTTCAGCAGGTGAAATTAATGAATTCCATTAACTACGACGAGACACGGGGTAAAAATACTGCTACGAAAGTGACTGTCGAAGAACGTTACGACAATAAGAAGCGAAAATCTTCGACAAGGGAGAAAGACGGACGGGATCGAGAATGGCGACGGAGAAAAGAATGAAGACAGATTTTTATACGTCTCCCAGGGAAATCCGTCGGGTGTGCAATTGTTTTTAGATTACGCGAAAACGTCGTCGTTCTACGCTTCTCGCTAAAGTGGTTCATCGTGTCAATCTGCCCTTCTGCGAAATTGCGCTATACTTTAGTTGATCTCGGACTCTAAATGAGAACTTTAAAGAATGAATACACTGGCTACATTCGCTGGTAACATTTGCTCTTTGTAGGTAACCACCGAATCAATTTCATCCTGAAAGATTTCGTTATATTGGCAAAAGCAATTAAAGACAAACACAACGAATACAAATTTCAATGTACGTAACTATATTTTATGAGAAACCCGTTTTCTATACTATTAAAACTTCAAAGAACGTCGAAAAATTTGTCTGCATTGTCATCGATCGTACCGTACAAAAGGAAACCTTTCGAGCCAAATCGTGACGATTTTTGACAAAGCGAGGGCACTCCGTTAAACCTCGCCACCATTCCGTGCCTATAATTCGGACAAAGGTGCAAGTACTTGGTTGAAATCTAGAACGCGCGAGTATATCTATCGACCTCTCTCTTTCCGTTTCTTCTTCGTCCTCTCTAGCCCACCTCTTTTGCTTTTCACTCGTATCCACTCACCCTCGATGCTGACGAATCATGAAACTTAGGTCATCGTATTCTTCCGTTTCACGGTTGAGTGTCCCGTTGTACATCGAACTTAATTTCCTGAAATTTGTTCTTTTCACAAATCCAAGTATAAAAAACTAACGTCATTTTCGTTCAACAGTCGAGTTGATCGATAAATTTCTCGCTGGCACGAAATAGTGTTCTTCGTGGAAAGATAATTTCGTGAAAAGTATATCAAAATAACGCGACGCGAGTAAAAATATAAGTTTCGCTGATAAAACTCTGACCTGGAGATTTTTTCCCGCGATAGCGTTTCTTTCATAGATCTCGTATTCTCGTCGCGCGGTGCAAAGTTTGAAGAGCGTTCTTATAACTCGTCACGAAAAACGAACGAACGAACGAACCTCGGTGAAAGTATTTTTTTCCCCAGGTGGGAATTGCGCCGTTTCAATATGGATGAGGTTTACGATTGCCCGATAGCGAGATTCGCTATACCGACGAAATTGCTTCGCTAGTTTTGGAGCTGGCGTAAGTGCTTCCGCTCACAAATGGACGCGACCGCGTAATAGCAAAGCTGACAAACGCTCCACGGCCTTCGCTAAAGTCGTCAAGTATACAAATTTCATCGAAATCAACGCATTTGTTGCGGCAATCGTAGCAATTCGCATTCTGAAATTTGTGAATTGTATAAACACGCTTTTTGTTTAAAGGAAAAGTTGAAACTCAAGAATGCCGATATTGACAAGAATCGAAAACGATTTAACCACATTTCCGTCGAAATCGAGTAACACCAGTGGTAACAAATGGACCCTTAATCCAAGCGAATTCGGCAGAAAATAGCCGAGCGCAATCGGTGACGCAGGTAGGATCAAATTTTATCCGGTAATGAAAATCGAAACATTTATATTTTTCATTGTTTCTTAACGAGACTGTTATTAACAGATTGGAGAGATACACTCGATGAAATGAATCCAAACGTGGCCTCGTTCGGGTGGCTTTTAATTACGGATTATACAAAACATTTTTGTGGAAGTCGTATCTGTATCCATCGAGGAGATCGCTGCAATCATCGATAATACTCTCGCGAAGATATAATGGCAAGTATGAAACCTTAAATTTTCATTAGCGAACAAAATTCGAGCGTTTTCTATAACGGAAAAGTTTGTCCAATCAACGAGTGTCGTTGTTCAGTCGTAGCGAGATGGGAAGTTGGCAGATAGTGTACGTTCAGCTAACGCATTTCTTCGTATATTTCTTGAAAGAACAGAGCAAAGATCCTGCTGAGCGTTCGTCCGTGCTGACGCATCGTATGGAGTTATAATTTACGTATTCGTCGAGAAGGCGGCGATCTTTTCCACGCCAGGCGGGCATAAAGATTGCGTTAGAAAATTGAAGCAGCAGTTTTACATTTGATACAAAATTATACCCATCGGTTTCTCCGAACGGTCCCGTGCCAAGCTAGTTCTCCACCACGGTAAGTACATCTGTATTTTTATACACGACGGCAGCAGATACAAATGACTCCATACTAGCTCCGTAACGGTTATCGCGCATTTCGATCCACCGAGTACAAATCAGTACCCAGGGTAGAAACAACGCGTGCTCGTAAATTGTCTTGCACCCTCACGAAAAGAAAGATTTTTGGCAATTCCAAACGCGATTGCGATGTTTCGACAATTCTTGCTCGAATTGCGTTAAATTTCGTTGGATCATTGGTAACGCAACGTTAAATGGGAACCAGGTCGTGCAAGTCTTGCAGCAACCTACAGATCGTCGGTCAAACACCGTTCCACTTGTGCATCGCAACATTTTGCATACAACCTAACTTAATAATTATTCTTCTCCCCTAAATTACAGCCGGATTCACGCGTCTTCGCGCTTTTATCAAGCCACTGCGGTTCACTATACAACAGCAATCACCATTACCACTACGAGCTAAAAGGTATGAACGTCTCGAGGAATACGGGTGAAAGCAAACTACATAACTGGAAGGAAACCGACAGCTAAGAAGAAGAAGCAGAAACGGAAGCAGAATAGACGAACCAAGTGAAGGCAGAAGAAGAAGAAGAAGAAGAAGAAGAAGAAGTACCAAGGTTGAATGCACACTATCGGAAGAGAAGGAAGACAGGGACGATGTTGGGGGAAGAAGGAAAAGAAAGAGGGCAAAGGGTGTACGGTGTAAAGGAAGAGGGGTGGTATATAACCAAGGTAGAGAAACGCGGTACAGGTGAGCGCGCACGCGCGCAAATGCACACTGTGCACCAAGGGAAACACGAACGAGGATCGTATAGCTTAGAGGAGCGGAATCGGAGAGGCTGCATGGGGCGGCTGCGTGCTCGAAGCTCGAGCGGCGCTCGCGCAATGTAGTCCCTCGGCTATCCTTGACGCGGGAGCATCGTCGTTTCGAAAGAGCCGCGACCTTCTCCCGTCGCGTCGCGCGCGTTCCGTGGAACGTCCGAGGATCCGCACGCTCCTCCACACCGGCCAATTCCCCCCGGAACCGGAACCGGTCATTCGCGATCGGCGAACCTCGTGGCCATCGATGCGACGCGAATAACCCCGTTTTTGAGCCACCCTCCAGTTCCTTCTTTTTCTCTGACCAAGAAAATCCGATATCGCTGGATCGAGCAATCGTCAGTGGATCGTGCCGATTTCCAAGATGTGGTGCAGTGACATAACCGGTGAACCGTGATCCTGTTCGCTAGCACTCGATAGGGCATGGATGGAATCTTAACGCGGACACGGTGGTTCGCGCGCTTCGCGTTTAATTTCGGGTGCAGTTAACTGCGGTGAATTGGTTCAGTCGTCTACTCCGTTTTTCGATCCTAGGAGTCTCGAGAGAAACACTTTCGATTTCCAGAGAGAACATTTACGTGATTCTAATTCACAGACTGCAGCTGCTAGCTCGCGACACATCGTCGACGCTGGAAACTTGGATCGCAGATTTCCGAAGCACTTCGAAAAGACTTGTCGCGAATCGCTGGCGTTAAGTCCAACTGGGCCAAGAATCTCTGGCCCGAGTTCGGAGCGAAACTTCTACCGAACGAGGAAGCAGTGTGCATAAAAGGCTCGTAACGCTACCGCCGGTGGTTCGCGAATGAAACTGGCTGACGTACGGCTAGAGTTCGTAGCCCGATCGAACTTGGCACCAACTTCCTTTCATCGTCGAATGGAACACCTCGCCGCCGTAACTAAATCTCTTTCCACCGAACACCAGTACCTCAGGCTCTGATACCTGGAAACTCGACGGCTCGACGGATGAGAAATCCCAAAGGAAGCTTCGCGAACTCTGCACCGAAGCGATTCACATTAGCGGCACAGAGTCGTCGACGTTAACGCGTTCGCAACTACTGACGCAATTCTATGTACTTTGTTCTCGCGAACTACAGATCGTTGACCACGGTACTGCTTCTATTCATTGGTTGAATCGTGTGGCTGTTGAAACGTTAATCGTACATCTTCCGACGGACACCGGTGAAAAACCTGGATCGGTTCGATCGAGGTCAACGCTCCCTTGCTTTTGAACCAGAAAAACACCCCTTTTCCCATGGAATGTTAAACTTGGAACTTATCCGTCAAGTTAGACAAGCAAATCGGACGAAACGCGTCCTCTGTACTTACGTTTTCTTATCAGCTGCTCCGTCAGTGTCCTATCGTGATATACATATATCGAACCGTGGAAGTTGCTCGATCGAAGAGCCAATCGATTTCCACGACGAAGACAACGAACGATGCATTACTCGACAATTAGAGCTTGAATAGGGTACGAAGGGAGACGATTCCGAACAATGCAGCGAAGCACAGCGACGCACAGCAAGAAAGTGCGAGAAAGAATGATCGATGGAACGTCTAGCGCGTCGAGGAAATTACTTTAACGAGTCCCGCCTAATGCATCGCGAACGACTTTGCGGTCGTCAGTGCGGCGAGAGGCGTAAAAGCGTCCACTGCCACCATTTCTCCTCGTCTTCCTCTTTCGCTCGCTCTATCTCGCTTGGTCTCTCTGATCTCAGACCAGTTCAAACTACTGCCATACGACCGCCAAAGAAACACTCCTGTCGTTAATTGCATTCATTGGGAACTCGCGTCGCGCTACGTTGCGCTTTATTCCACTGACGGAAGGCAAGGTGGTCGCGAGCTTCCTAACATCCGAAAGTTCATCGTGTTTACAAGAGGAAAAAGGAGAAACGGATGAAACAATATTCGCGCGTCGAACGCACCGCGAACGTAACAAGATTTTGTCAATTTTTTGACGTGCAAGTGATATCGAACGAACAAAACGGAACAGTGCCGTGTTGTCAACGAAAACGAACTGCAAATCGTGGAATTGTGCTTCGGATTGTGAACCTAAACCGTGCATCGCGAGTCTCCAGTATTGGGTCTCCGTCGGATCTCGTGAAGGGATCGCGTGAAATGCCACGTTCTTGGAGAAACTGGAAATAGTGAGAGGCTATACATCGGTTTTGACGAACGAGTCGAGGAAACGACGTGAAATGCGTGCAAGATAGTATATATCAATATGTGAAAGAACCACGCCGAGGAAAAGCGATGTCTACTTCTCTTCCCGTGCTCGTCTGTTTTATCGTTTCTTTTGGTAAGTCGAAACTTCATCTGACGTTCCTGTCTTCGTCGACGGTAGATTTGAACCTGTTTGAAGTAGTTATGTTATTTATGCGCACATTCAAACTATTGTAACGTTAACGAGATTTTTGTGTAAACGTAATATTGCAGGATGATAGAGTTCATTTTGCAAGACATATGTAACAAACACCTACTATTCGAACAAATAGTCATTGAATGGTATAACGTCACATTCTATGTCGAATTTATTTCATTCGTTTCGTAGTTGCTAATCGTTGAAACGGTTAAGTAATGTTTTTCCAAGGATAAGATTCTTTTAGTTTGAATTGCAAATCTATCGTTTAGGTCTCCGCTGTTAGGGCACTTGTATTATTCATGACAATCCTCTCAATTTCAGCAACGCTTTGGCACAACGTTTCACCCCATGCGAGCTAGCATATAGAGCAGCGTGGGGTTGGTATATCTTTCAGTTTGATTGAATTTGATGAACTCTACCCTGGCGCTGGGGAAACGGGAGAGAACCCTCGAACTTGTGGCGAGGCTACACCTAGCCCTGGGGCCGACAACCTTGTATTTCGTTTGAAATCTAATCCACGAAAAATTGTTTCCACCGGTATTTCTCTGGTTTCCTAAAAAAAATCGTTGCTTTTCCTTCAAACGTAATATCGTATAATTTAATTATCAGACAACGGAAATATTAATACCGGTACAAATATCGATTTTTCATTGTTATGGCAAAATATCTATTACTCTGCAAATTGTTTTCTCGTTAAATTCAATCTTCATAAACAACATTAACATTTTCATTGATTTTATCGTAACTCGGCTCAGTAAAATAATTATTTTAAGCTGGTAAACGTTGTTATCGTAATGCTGGCGCAAATTGAATAATGATACATTTAAATTATTACCCTATAGTTATTCCTTTTAATATCGGGACATTGGAGCACGCAAACATTTATTATATACATTATATTACTTTATTTTATTGTAATTTACGAAACCACAAACAAATCTATTTCTAAAATTACGTCAAATCTTTTTCGCGAAGATTTTATTTATAGGTTACACGTTACGATTGATTTTGCAATCGTGTCTGTGCCAGTGTTAGTATTTGATTTATTTGAAATTATACGCGAAATCATTTATTTTATCTAGCTGCAACGGGTTGGAACAAGTTATACCGCGATTAATGTCAACGAACGCCAAAGCAAGTAGAAATAGTGAGCATTGGTCAGACGCGGTAACCAAGTCGTATCCGGTAGCGCGCGTGTCCGATAAATCGTTAAAGTAATTTTTAGTACAATGCCCTCCATCGAATAAAAGCCAATCCCACCGACACCCAGAATTGATTAAAATATAGGGTTTTCATAAGGAAAGAAATCACACATCCGAAGTTGTAGCGAAATTCCACGTTTATCCAATCGAGTCAAAAGAACAATTTGCCGAGAACTCGTTTTCTCGTAAACATTTTTAACGGGAGGAATGTTCTTTTCAATAACGATTTCATTTGTCCCGATACACTTTTATGCAATTATTCAGTTCACCTTACGGAGGGAGGCTTGTTTATTCCGTGACACAAAGAGACACAAGGACGACACTGGCGCGACTTAACGCACAAATAATTTCCCGCTCGAGCTTTCGCCGCGTTTCCTTTTCTTCGCGTACCTGAAGTCGAGAATTGTCTCGGGAGAACTGGTCCCGTGAAAAGTTACAATGGTTTTTCTTCGCCGAGGAATAAGCGCAGTCCAGCTTCGTCGAGAATCTGAGAAATTCGCTATGATTGTCGCGAATGTATTGCTAAACGAAAGCACGACGCCGAAACACAATTTTACGCAACTGTTTTGCACTCCCTTATTTTTGTTCGCATTTCTTGACGCTATCCACCTTTTCTCTCTTAAAATGTATTCGTGCGATCCAAATATTTAACAAAGTGTTTCATTAAACTATCTGTATGTGAAAAAATTGCAATGTTTATAACGTCCTCTGACGGACATTTTATTGAATCGCGGAGTTTACTATTGACTATCGATAACTTTAGTTCTACATGGGAAATTGATTGAATCTGGGATATACGTTATGAGAGAAACGTTATGAATGTTTAATAGGCAAATAATACGATATTACTTTTAGAAAACTGCTCACGAGCAAAATTAATACCATTTTTTACGATATTTTGCGCCATCATTTTGAAAACAAATACAGTTATCTGGCATACGAAGAAATTGAAGACTGACAAGCTTCGAAAGACATGAAAGAGACAAAAACTATTCCACCTGGTTCGAAGCGATAGGGGTGACGGATTTTGCATCTGACATGACGGTGATTTGGCGGGATAGGAGTCATCTTGTTTAATCCAACCGGATTAGAGGGACAGTGAAATCGAGCTGACGAATTCACTTTGATCGTCCATCCATAGAACGAGTCAGAGGTACCGAATTGCCGATACAAGCCAGACTACGGGGCGTTTATACGCCGATCGAGATCGTTCAACGCGCTGTTCGCGTTTATGACGGTGAGCCGAGTGAAACGGTGCACCTAATTCCAACACTTCGACTGTGCGTTGGTTTATCGGCGGATTTCGCCGTCATGGTTCACCACCTAATCGGTTCAAGATTCGTTTCGACAAAGCGACGGGTTAAGGAAAATAATGATCCCAACGTCACCCCTGCCGAGCACAGAGCTTCTGGATTAAAGTATCCGACGAGCTGCACGCGATCGATCGAAAATACCGATTTACCAAGGACGAACCCTATTTAAATCATTTCCTCCCTTCAGATACTGAAATAGGTAGATATATAATACATTTATTCATCTAAATATATTTCACTAGTCCTAGAAAAGAGTATAATCTATAATTCAATTGGTCGAATGGCTTCTTCTTTTTTTTTCTACATTTATTATCCTAGTAATTACAGAGTAAAAATGTAGATAGCGAAATCTGAAATCTATTCTCCCATATTTCCTTTTACTGCTGGTACGAATAGCGTCGAGAAGTTAATTTTGTATGCTCTAGCGAGTACCGTTAGCCTTTTTCGATAAGCGTCGGAGTCGATTCGACCGTTAGTTTGCTTTTCATTACTTCCTTGCGACAAGCTCATTGACATCGATCGGCAGAAGTTGACTAGCGTTTCGGGTAATTTCCATTTCTCTCCGAGTTCCCGTCAAAGGGTGATTTAGAAACAACATCGAGACCCAGCGAAATTTATGATAGATTGCTCTACACGCGTAGTTCAATCACAATTTCATCGTTTAATAAATTGAATTGGTTATTAGACGAGCTAGAATTATGTACCTATTGCTGTCAACGATATCCACGCATGCGATGATCCATGTACGATTCGCGTTATTACCGACGTAACGCAGACAAAGTTAAATACACTCGCAATACTATTAATCGGATTATGCGAATTGAATGCCGGTTTGCACACAAACGAAAGCGTTCACTTATCGTCGAAGTTAAGAAAATTGACCTGTAAACGATGTTGTAACAGAAGGAAAACTTATGTTAAATATACGTAGAATGAAATGAATTAAAATTCCCATAGAAAACATCATATTGTTGGACAGCGTCATTGTCGTGCAACGAAATGTAGAAATATTTTTCGAGTCGCGAAGTAAGAAGACACCAAAGGCTCTTCAGAGTATATGGAACGTATTTTCCTTTGTGGTGCAAGAAATTCGATTTATATGCGTCCTGACTGCGGTAAAATGAGCCTCGCAAAATGGATCTAACCTCGACGGGAGGCAGGTGGTTTGAACAAAAAGCGATCGATAAAACGTATTTGTATGTAGAAAATATCAGCAACCGTAAAACAGCGATTACAGAGAGCAAAGTTTCGCGTTATTTATTTATTATTGTATGCGCAAACTTTGCACTTCGTACCATGTTCTAAACAGCTCGCAGATTTTCCGAATAAGAGGCCATGTATCGCGCAATGTAATATCCGGTGTCTCTCAAACTCTCATTTATACGGCCTTTCATCGCGGACGGCTGCGGACTTGTTAGCTCTCTAACTGGTGCTAAACATTTACTTTGTTCACGTCATCTTAAACTGCCTTTGAAGGTGAATGACGTCGCGCAAGTTTCAACGCTCTTGTCACGGTATGGAAACAATATACTCTCAATTTCGACATTTCGAATAACGAGAGTCGCTCGACACACCTTCGGTCTATCGAGATTTTCAGAGACCTAGGTATAACGGATGTCGATCATTTATTATGATATTAATAAATAATTGCCAGATAACACGCATTCAGTTTGTTCTCCTAACATCTTTATCCGTCTGATCGTTTTTATTTGTTCTTATCGGTTGTTACAAAAGTTTTCACGAGTGTTGTCTATACCCACACCTTATTCGATCCCCCGAATCGAACCACAGATGCGCGTGCCGAATGCTACAACGAAGAAACTTTTCCAACTTGGACCCTTTGAGTGCATCGTAGAGACAATTCGTAAACGACAATCGAATCCACGATAATCGATGGGGCGTTTACAGTGATAATCGAATAAAAATAATTCATCGACGATCCTTCATCGAAATCTTTACGAATTTCTGGAAAATTAATCGCGTGTCGTTCATTTTTTGACGCTCTACAGAGACTGAGCCGTCGAAGTAACATGTGACGGAAAGAAGCGATCTCTTTGTGTGGTATGGCGGCACCCCTATGCGGTTTAAGATTGATCAGAAGCATTTTTGGTTCGAACCAATTAAACGAACAGTGTCAACGGCAATTTTCTGCCAATTAAGCATCGCGATTAATAATATAACCAAAGAAAAAGAGAAACGGACAAAGAGTAATGTAAAAAATCGAGCGGATGAGATTTGACTTAGCCACTAGTAGAATCCGCTGTCGAGTAAAAGGGATAATGGAAACGAGGACGGAACGGGATGGAACGAAATAGGATTTTGCGGTGAGCAACCAAACCAGCCAAGGCCCTTCATTGTTGGGGAGAGTGCTCCTCTGGTAGTTAGCTGTGAGGGACAAGCACCAGCCACCGAAGGCTTGAATAATTGTAAAGCCAGCGCAAAGTCATCCACTTTGCCAGGGAACATTCTAAAGGTTCTTCGAAAGTTTGGAGACAGGGATGACAGCGATGTGACATCTTATGTGGTGGCGAAGAGAAAATCCACGTTACCGTGCCCTCCTAAGAACTTATCTGGCTCTCGACCAGTTACTTATTTAACCGTTTGCGACTCGACATTTTTTCATTACGGACAAAGTTTGAGCGAAAAGTCGGTCGCGTGAGTGACGCGGAATTTCATCATTGTTCCCGGCTGCCGACTTTATTTTCACGCTTATGATTATTTCCCTCGGTACTTCGAAACTATACCGAACAATACGGAAATCACCCCTGTGTACGATGGAAAAGTTTTCATGTTAAGCCAAGTTTTTAAATAGATACGAGGTAATAATGTTGGCTGAAAGGAAAAGATGAAAAGAGAAGTTCTAGTTACAGGTAAAAGCAAGCAAGATGTTAAGGGGAAAAGCCGAGAAGAAAGTTGAGAGGAGTGGTTTCGTTTTGTGCTTTCCACAAACGAGACGTAATTGATCGATCGCTTGAACCCATTAAGCGAGTAATCATAAATATCATACTTACTTTTTATGTACTTTTAATTATATCAAGAAGACATTAAATATAAACTTGAGAAAACGACGAGAAAGCATTCTTCTAAAAAGTAAATTAGTCTAATCACGGAAATATCTCGACAATGTTTCAGAGGAAGCAAGGAACGAATTCAAACGGGAGAAAAAGATGGAACAAAGATGGATTACCAGATTCGTGCGCAAAATTAATTTCCGGCCCAGCCGCCGGATCATAGATTATCCGATACTCGGCTGCGAACTTATTTGACCCGTTTTCGCCGGAAAAGCTGTAGAGTACAACCTACGACGGTCGAACTTTCTGTTATACGCCGAAGAAAAGTCCTCTTTTGCAAAAATAGACGCTATTTTCAACTCGGAAAACGAATTATAGACGTCTGAACTTTCTTAATGGAAATACCGATTAATTTTAATACTTCCCTTAACCAAATCTAGGGAAGATCAATACTCGTCTTACCCAGACACCCTTAAATCTTATTAGTATTATTACAGTGGAAGAGTAATTCCATTCCAAGTCAACGCAGTGATTTTTCTTGCAAAGTCCAATTCAAAATTAATTTGATCCCGCGCAGATTTTTGCGTCGCTTTATGATTTCGTTACGAACCTATTCGCAATTGAGAACCCGCGAAATAAAGTTTGCGAAGAAGCTGGCTAAATTGGCTGACGAAAGAATACCAGGCAGGAATATTTTCTAGACAACGCTCGCGTAATTTTGTCATTCCGTTGAGTCGCTGTGAATTTCGTGGAAAGCCGAGACACGTGGAAAGGAAAATTCGAGCGTAGCGTTTCGGGGCGAAATTAATTTTCGTCGAAGTACGACTGGCGAAGTCGTGGTTGCGGTGCTCTTAGCCAGCTCGCCTTAACTCGCGTATGCCTCCGCTCGAAAGTTTAAGAGTTCACCACGCCGGAGATCTTTAAATTTTCCCACGAGGAACGAGTTCACCGCGGAAAACGTTTCTTCCTTAGAGTGACATACGTTCTGAAACGTGACAGAGGGTTTTCGGCACGCGTTTCCTGCAAGGCAAGTTGTGCGATCGATTTTAATTACAGCCAGACACAAACACCTATAGGTGTACTATTTTTTCGCTCACATTTTTATTACATTCTTTACCATTTAAACAACTTTGTAACAGTCGAAATGAATGATGCAACATTTCCATGTAAGAAATCATAGTCGACGACCGTATTGTACGTTCGTACATCAAATCACAAAGTTAGCTCTGAATCGCGACTACTGTTTGCGCTTGATTTTTGTCGCGGTGGAGAGCGATCGTTCTTCCGTTAACGGATGATGGCTTTTATCCCTCGGAACCGCACATCATTTGTTCAATCGTTGACAATGCCGTTCAGAAGTAACAGATTCATCTTCCTTTAAAGTTTCACAATGCGCTAAGTCTTTTCTATTCGACCGTACACAAAGCATAACTTACTTCGAGTGCAGGTTTCTGTTTCCGACATTGTTCGTGTTCCTATTTTATATGATACACTCTTTTTCATGATATATTATTGTACAGTATCTAACATTTATCATTATCAATACAGAACTTTTCGGTTCGCATGATACCTAAATATAAAGGGTCTTCCAAAAATGATTCTCGTCTAATTCCGTCTACATCGCTGGATATTGAATGAAAAAATAGAAGAAATTAGTAAAAACAATGGAATTATCACACTTTCTGAACATTATATAATAGACTTGTGGTGACAAAATCATCAGTCTTTTGTATTTTCGGACTCAACGTGCTTGAAAATATCGAAAAATGAAAACAGAATGGAGATGAAATCTTGATCGATAGCAATACTTCTCTTCTGTTTTATTCAATAACAGCCGAGAAAGTGGAAACTCGTGCCTTCTCGATATGTCGTATAACAATCGACGATCGCGTATCGTCGTGGTTTTGTTATCGTGGCGGACAATTTGAGGTTCGAGAGAAATTTCATATGCAGCAATCTAACACAATGAAAGGGAAGAGAAGCCAGAGAAAAATATCGCGTTTCTTGCACAAAATCAATGTGTCGGTAAAAATAGTGGACGTGTATCTTGGGCGGTGCTTAGAGAGAACTCGTCTTAACCACTTCTGTACTGGAAAGCTTCGAAGCGTAATATACGAGCACATGGTCTAGTAAACTAACGAAAGAGAATTTCGTACTGCAAAAGTGCTTCTTTGCACGCGGATGACTCTAAAGAGCAATCGCAAGGAAAAAAGCTCACCGGCATTCTTGTCCACGTTTCAACTTCGCTCTCGCTGATCCCCAGGCTTTAAACGCGCCGCTCGATTCCCGCTTTGAACCTCTGATCGGATTTCGGCGATCGAATCCACGATTACGTTGCCTGTTCTTTTCCCGAAAAACAAATGGATCCCAGCTGAATTCGCGCTAGCCAGCTAGCCAAATCCCACTTCGGTTTATTTGAATTTCTGTTCGCCCCGTTTCTATCGGTTAAGCGTTCGTACAATAAACGATCTCGCTGTTGCGAAACTTTGGAAGAACGTCACACGATCTACGACGGTAGAGCAGAAATGGTTTTCGACATTTTTAAATTCGCGACAGTGTTTGGAATACAATGGTTAAAAGTCACTCTACAATGGAAACGACAAGGTACAGCAGGAAATTTTATTCTACGATCGCCCGTACGAATGTTCACGGATTTCATTCTGTGTCACCGTTTCATTTTATTCTCAATACGATAATAACGAATTTACAATTCAACGCAAAGGGCTGCATTCTGCAGCGACAATTGTTCGCGAAATAAACGCAAATAAATACGAACGATGAGCCCAAAGTGAAATAATAAAATGCGTACGAAACGTTTGCTTGCGTTCTTCCATCGTATAATTCGAAGAGAGCAATTTAGGAGTGGGAAATGGCGCGAAGAGAGAAGGAGAGTCGATCATTCGTGAACAATGGCACTCTATGGATGTTATTCCGCTAGAATGGGAGCAAAATAGCTCGATGGTCCCCAAACTGTCGGTCGCGTTACACGCTGTTACCCTCGCTGAGCTGCCTCCTACTCGTCCTGATTCGCGATTGACCGACGATGCGTGTTTTACTGCCGTCGAAAATCACCGGAAATTTTTCACCGACACGAAACTTCTGTAACCTAAATTTTTGTCTCATGGCACAAATTATAGATAATCGTTTTACAACGATGAAAGCACATAGCGTTTTCAAACAATGTACATCGTACAGTGTAACGTGAATTGCTTCTAATTAATGCGTGCAACTTGTAGCGATGAGTGACAAATTTGACACAATGTTTCTTTTATTCCAGGTGGCATAGCGTCGTGTCTACGAAATTTTCGAACCGATTTTCTAGAGGAATGGCCGACACCTGGAACAGGGCCCCATTTCGACACCACCATGCAGTCAAATTTCACCGGTTTGGTGGGGAAAACTGTGCATCTGGTGTGCAAAGTGAAAAATCTTGGAAATCGAACGGTGAGTTTTAATAAATTTTGCACTTTTTTCGAACACTCCAAGTCGAGTAAATAAATAGTGACGAATTATCTTTGAAAAATTTCACACGTGCGTAACATACACGAGGCTTTCAAGAATGAAGCCGAGGTGAACCACAAATTAAGGGGAATGTTTCTCGACTCTGCCAGTGGATTGCGTAGTGAATAGTCAGACCAATCCCTGACCATTCCTACCACATCCATTCGCGTGAACTCCTAACCACAGTTTGGCGCGAGCGTACATAGCATTTTCCAGTGCTAAACACCGTCCTCTGAAATCTTGACTCTTCGACAAGTTACAAACAACTGAGAGCACAACTTTCTCTGTATTACCTTCCTCGATTTCAATAGTTGACATTTGTATATAATTGTGTAATCTTTTTCTTCAATTTTGAAACTTTAGGTAGTTCGGTATATCGAGATATGTGTGTGTATATATAGAGAATTCGAACAAAAGAGTAATTTTAACCCGTAGCAGCTATTTCTTCTTCGTTGTAACGAATAATGGATAAGTAAATAGAAAAGGACGAATTCCCGATCAACTTGGCGGATCGGATTTCGTAAATAACTGGATTTGCAAATACACCAGCACGCAAAGTCTTCCCAAGTTTGCTTTACACTCCACCGAGAACTTTTGTCTCGACTGAACATATAACGGGTGAAACCTAACGATAAGCATGCCAAAGCGTAATAAAGTTTTCGTAATACCGTTAATCCTCTAGAGATTAAGAGGAATATGTAGGAGGAGAACGAAAGGTATGACTAGCGCGGAACGGAAATTCTTTGTCAAAGCAAGAGAACGTATTCGAGCGAGGAGGAGAAGCAGAAAGAGCAACACCATCGGAATTCCCAAAGACGCTCGTTTCTAGATTTCCGCTTATGCCAAGCGCGTTTAATCCTCTATTCGGGACGTTGGCTGATTGCAAGTGTAGATTCAACCGCTGATCCGTAGTGACGCGTACCGCTGTGATTATGAACGCTCGTTGGAAACTGAAACAGTTGCCAGCTTTCAAAGGCGAAGATACACGATCACGGTGTGTTTAACCAGAGCAGCTAAGAACCGGCTGTTAATACACCGTCGACGATAATGGCGGTCTTCATTAGTAAGCATATAGAGACCACAAGCTAATCAACAGCAGTTTGACTTTGGCTCGGAGTTTCTCGATGGAAGCAATTACAATAGCCTAGTATCGGTCTTACTTGATACTTGCGGTTAATAGTGGAACGATGGAGGCTCTGCAAATGAAATTTCGAGGAAATCTAATCGTTTTCGCAGTGCGATGATTAAATGATTTGGAGAAGAGTATTTTTTATCTTTGTTTGTATTTATCGTTCCTCGTCACGTTAAAAAAAAAAACGAAGTTCCAAATCCCTCACTATCTTTGTTCACCATTTGTCAAAGTGTAGCCTACTTGCGTGGATGTTCCGGAACAAAGCGCCTCGAGATCATTACACTGTTCCATACTTCTCGGATAACAGGAAAGTGCAACCTATACGAGCCTCCCCTATGTACACACGAGCGTTGCAGACTCGCACGAGTGTCGTAGGCGTAACCTAGTCTCCTTTATCCGGACAAAGATCAGCGAGTCCTTATTTTCTCGGGATCTGTTCTCCGTCTCCTTTGCCGATCCCATTTTCCGTTCTGTCCGCTTTTACGCTGAGATCCTGTAATCTCTGCGAGCGTCAATGGGAGTAGTCGGATGACGAGAGCGCCTATCAGCGGCATTCTCCGTCCAAACAACGTTGAAAACAGCCTCGCGATGATAAACGCATCCTCCATCGTTTCCCGAAGCAACCAAGACTAAATTATAATTAAGAGCCTGCTCTAACAAGACCACACCTAACCGTGAGAGTCGCTGCTAGATTATAGGAATACGAGTTTCGAGTATTCGAGTATTCCACTTGTTCTAAAGCGGATGGAAAATATGGAAAGAAGTGGTACAAAATTCTAGAAAAGTAGAGTGACTTATTAAAGAGACTACTTTATGAAAACTCTGTAAAAAAAAAAAAAAAAGAAATTAAAGCAAGTTCAGTGGTCAGAGTCATAATTTCTAAAGTACCAGCATGAAGTGGCCTGTGCGCTGAGCTTACAAGGGCATGCAGCGAGCTACCCCTCTTAAATCCTCCTTTGAGACTTTTTCAAACTCTACATATTGCAATGGTCGCTAAGGAAAACATAAGTTTCCAGACGAAACAAAACGGTCTCTACACAATGATAAAGTAGTGATCATTGCAAATGTAACGTAAAAGCTTTAGAAAATGCTAAAGGGACACGCCTTTGAAAAGATTCCAAGAGGCAGCGTTCGCGCACCCTTGATGCATCTTCGATGCGTCCTGAGTACATTTCTCGATGCATCTCGAGTACATTCTTGATGCAACATCGACGAACGGAGGATGGAAACTTTCTCGCCTTTTCCCTCAAAACTACCTTTCCCGAATAGCGTCTCTGAAAATCCCGAAATTTTCGAATCTTCAGATTCCCATTACGTGTCTTGCAAATACGAAATTATACATGACACCGTGATTGTTGATATTTGCTGAAAAATGTGAATATAGGTTGCATAAACTTCTGTCGCGTTGGTTTGAATTTATTGGTTGGAATGCAACAGTTGGCGATTTCTACTAAAACGAAACTCAGTTTCTATTGTATAGCGGCCGTTTGAACGGTTCTTACGTAAACTGGAAAACACTTGTAAATAAATCGCGGTGTACGAGCTATTTAACGCGTGCATGGTAATTCAAGCGAAATTAGAGGACAATAAAGGAAGATGGTACGAGCGCCGATATAGTGGACGGTAATTCGGAGAACGAGGGAACCGCGAAATTCGCTCGGAGCCATTCGTGGACACTTGGCTCGTCGTTGGTCCGGGGTACGCTTTACTCGCGCGTAGATAAATGCATCGCCGCGCCGCGCTATGCACCTACGCAACGCTCTCGGTGCATGGAAAGCGGCGCGCATGATCACGCGAGCTGCATAGATTTCGGTTGAATTTCACCAAACAATGCCGCGACTAATGCCGATGACACACCGGTGTCATCTCGAGAACTCGCAGGCTACCGCAGCTGCCAGGTTCGCGGCCCGGCTAGGACAATACCGAATCTCCATGGTGACGTCACACTCGCCTCGAGTGGAGCGACGCGGATGCCTGCGTTACGAGAAATTGGTTTATGCGACGATGCACCCGTGAAACGAAATACTCGAGGCAAAAGACCCTTCCTTCGTGCCACGACGGCCGTTCCCTCTACCATCTACCCGGACATTTGCGCTTTAATCCCAAGATCTCTCGGCCCACCCGCCGACCAACGTTCAAGAATGCACCCTGCTTGCTCCATTTCTCACGGTCACTCCAGATTTATTCGAGTAATCGAACGAACGAAGTATTCCTTTTACGCGTGCCAAGAAGTACAAATTCTTCTGGTATTTGAATTTTATAACAGGACTTTCGAGTACGAGTGCCTAAACGATCGCGTAATTTTACCCCTAGTTTCGCGATCCTTCGAAACTTTGGCAGAATTGAATTTCATCGCTAAAGGGATCACTACGACGAACAAATCAGGTAAACAATTATCGTCGCACTGTCCTGTTCGCTCTTTGAGCGACCATTAAGGTCAATCGAATGTAAATGCAACTCACAGAGAACGCACTCTATGGAATTACGTTCACAGTTCATTGATATTGTCGGCAGATTATTGATTTAAATACGCAGGAGGCTGGAGCAATTGACCTCGGAATTAACAGGACAAGAGTGTGCGCGCGCGCGTACTAGGTACAAAGTTTTTATATCGGTTCCATCGATCGTTTTTCAACGTATATATCGCCGGATAGGGCCAAAACGAATTCTTTGCGAACGATTCTCCGATAACTATCGAACGTGATGAATGTTTGTATTTTGCTTCAGGTATCCTGGGTAAGGCATCGAGACATACATCTATTAACGGTTGGTCGTTACACGTACACGAGCGACCAGCGTTTCGAAGCTGTGCATTATCCGCACACCGAAGATTGGACGCTGACGATACGATTTCCCCAGAAGAAGGATTCCGGTATCTACGAGTGCCAAATATCAACGACACCGCCTATCGGTCATCCTGTTTATCTAACGATAGTTGGTAAGTATTTCGAGCAAACGGTGCAGCTGTTTCCTCCAAGTTCTATCCCGGTCGTAAATACCAAGACTCGGAAACGTTAAGGGAGGATTTTGGAGCGTTGCTTCGGGACTACGATAAATCAGAAATGAATCTGAAATAAACGAGAATGCGTATATCTTAAAATTACTTGAAACTCTTGTATCCCCTGTCAATGGGTTCGAAACTCAGTTGGAGATGTGCAGACGCGCGCCAGAACCGCGTGAAAGGGGTTAATCGAGGATACGTACGAAATCCATGCAAAGACTTCGTGCGAGTATACAAAGCAGGTGAAATCAGGCCGTCTGCAAGCTCATATATCCTCGCAGGTATACCGTTAATGACTGCTCTGAAACCTAACCGAGCCACACTATTCAATGAGAGGATCTTATCACACCGACTTGACCTGGAAACGTTACCTAACGCTTGCTTCCATATTTTGCCTCGCGATAAAAGTATCGGACATTTATAGAATATTATATCTCGTCGTATCTATTATACCATCATCCCTGCTTCCTTGCGTTCCAGAACCTAAACCTTCCACTTTTAGGAATGCATTGCACGGAAATCGCGTATGGAAGATTTATTTTAATAACCCGGATTAAGCGAAATCCCTTAAAGGTTAAAAGGTTTCTCGTTACGAACACTTTGTCTGGATCGCGTGACTATCTCTCGTAGAGTATTTGATCCGAATTTATCGGGAATAGAAGAAAATTTTAATTAAGTGACGTTACCGGAACGAAATCACGGTAAATCGAGAACAGTAATTCCTGGCATTCGAAGAGGGTCGATGAAATCCAAATAATAATTCTGCCTAAGTGGGATCTCGGCTAATTAAAGTGGTTTCAACCGAGCAACGGCTGGTTTAGAAAGCTTTAAATTGCAATCTGTGTAAACGAATGAACGAATACACCGAACAAATGGGGTTGAAATACTCGATTCGGAACCATTGAAAGCAAATTGGTCTTTTTTATATGCTTTAAAGCCTGCACGAAGTTCTCCAAACGATGCCTCATAAGTCATCGACTATCGCTACCCCGCGCCGCCGAGCCGTTCATTATGAAAATGGTGTGAGTTTCATTTATCACTGTTTCAGGATGAAAAGTTTTCGCATATTTATTGGCGTGAAAACGCTGATAAACGCTAATTGACACGTTGCATCATGTTGTCGATAACGATTAATTTCGGTTGCGCGATCCGTTTTCGACTGTTACATTAATTCAATTATGGATATTTTAATTCGAATGCATTCTTCCGAGCCGTATCAAATTTGTCCGAATAACAAATTCAACGTAATTGTCGAATACAAGAGGAATACGATTCTATTCCAGAGCCGATTACCAATATAATTGGAGCGCCCGATCTGTTCGTCAACAAGGGTAGCACCATTAATCTGACTTGCGTCGTGAAATACGCTCCAGAACCGCCGCCCATGATGAACTGGAGTCATAACACACAGGCAAGTACGACGTTGATTTTTCTTCGTCAAACAACGTTGTTCCATTTAATAATATTAGAGTAATCGAACGTTTCGTAGAAATTACACGGAATTCTGCTACGTTCGTAAATTAATCGTCGCGTTCCTTACAATCCGCAGTCGCTCGTTCCTAATTCCAGCGACACATTGCGAATTTACCTCCGCTCGCCAAGTATTCGACGAGTCCCATACATACCTACGTAATGCGATAATATTACGAACATTGAGAAAATTGAAAATCTTGTCCCTGAAAAAATTCTGCTGTCTTAGATGAACAAATTTTCCCACGTGTGCTTCCATGGAATTTACGTTTGCAAATATTTCAACGTCGAGTAAATTAATATTTTAACGACGAGAATAAACGAGAACGGCTTGACGCGATGACAGCTAAATATGGCGACTGGACCATTATTTCTCATTTCTATGCTTTTAATTTCGGTTAAGGTACAAATTATCTACGCGACCTCGCATTATTGAGGTGGAAACTATGTCATTTCAGTTCGGTAATAATGCTCGTTTTTCAACGAAAGCAACTTTTAATTTTCCACGATGGCTCGAGTATTTTTTTTAAAATAATAGTTTCGTTATTCGAGAAAAGTTTGCGAAAAATTTATTTCTCGGTAATCCTACCAAACGCTCAACAGCACTTCCTTTGGATGAAATTGTACTTTCGTGCCGATTACCGAGACTTTGCCAAGTCCACAATTTTTATATTAAATTATCATCTCGTCCCGCATTACCATTCATTTAAAAATTCTATCCCTTTCGTTATTCTTTAAAAGCAAAGTGCAGACAGAGACTCGGTCGAGCGGATATTCAAGATCGCAATCCCAGCTTTTCAAAATGCTCTAAACAATTAAGGTAGCCGCGATACTTTTGAGCTCGTGCTATTGTAACCCAATTTATTAAAACAAAATGGAATGAAGTTTGCGAACGACCTAATATAATATGCGGGGCATAGTTAATGCTATGCCAAGCCAAGCATTCATCGTTCGTTTTACGTTCTCGCGAGCTTCTTTGTGCCAGCTCAAAGGGGCTACGCCGTGGAAAACGTGGCTCGCGTGTACTATACCTATCTTTTTACCATTCTTCTCGCGAACCTTGAAGCAAAATATCTTTTGTCTTCGTGCACGGGAACGGGATTATACGGCACAGTGAGAATCCAACGGTTGGAGGGGGTGCTCAGTTTCCACGGAAATATGAGAAAGCAAACGCGGTAGCTTTGAGGAAATGATTGCGCGAACCAGAAGTCGGATGTACCTGGGGATCCAATATTGTTTCTTTTTAACAGTGTGCATACTACGGGCGGAACGTGTAATCCATACTTATCGCGCGAAATACGTGAACGTTTTAGCTGGAGCAGAGAAGTACCGGGGAAGTTGTTCGGTAATCTTTCCGCACTTCGTACGAATACTGCCAAACTTTCGAGTAGTTTACGAGTTATCGGTTGCTCCAGTGGAAGTCCAGTGGAAGTCTTTGTCGAACCAACTCGTTAACACGTTCAACAGTGAACTGTGTCAAATCTAGTGCTCGACAATTGAGTTTAACAAATATGCCTACCTCAGGGTTTTCCAAACTGAGCTGCACGACTCTCAGGACTATCTCACAACCAGGTAGAATCGCGAAATAAAATTTTTAAATAAACAGTAGTAACGCATAATTGCCAAAGTCTTAAATTGACGCCTGCATTTTATACAATTCCAATTACGAATTCCATTAAATACGTCGATCGAATGGTCTACGTGAATTAATCCTGCACTATAATTAATTAATCCTGCATTATAAATTTTGTACTATCTTCGTTCGAGGAATGGAAATTTTTCGACGTTGATGAATGTAGGCGTTCGATAAAAAAGAAAAGAGGATATGTCTCGGCTTACGATATTCTCGTTATAGTGTCAGGTACAATTTGTAACGGGAAGGGATCGCAATTCTTTCGTCGCTCGTGGAAACAATTCAGACCTAATCCAGGAAAGAAATGGATCCCATTTCAATTCTATTCCTTTTAACGGCTGCGGTTCTTACTTTTTAAAAAAAAGTTAATTTTCTTTTGTTTAGTAACTCGCTACTGTAGCACATTGTTCGAAAATTTAATATACCACACGTGATCATTAAAGTATATTAATATTCCACTTGCGAAATGTGTTCGACGAGTTGGCAGCAGACCACCTTTGATCAATTCCAACCCCGGGTAACACGTTGCTGGAACATTTTGATGAGACATAATTGAAAAACTGTTGAAAATTTCAACGTTTTAAGTTTAATCAGATTATTTTTCGTTATATTAATAAAGTATACGTATGTATAAATTACGTAAATATTTTTTAGCTGCCCATCGTAAAATCACTGATATAGCGTTACGAAATCGTCGCGAAACACGCATGGACGTATCACAGGTTAGCCAACGCGTTGAAAAGCTCAAGGAGTTTAATTTCATCGCGGAACGAATCGCGTAGCAACTCGGTCGACGCGTGAATTCCAGTGAAACACGAACGTGTAAAGGTAATTTTATCTTTTCGTCCAGGTAATTAATTTCGACTCGCCGCGCGGCGGTATCAGCTTGGTGACGGAGAAAGGCCCCGAAACGACCAGCCGTTTAATGATCCAGAAAGCGGTGCCGAGCGACTCTGGAATCTACACCTGCGAGCCGAGCAACGCGAATCCCAGCAGCATCAAGGTGCACGTTGTTAACGGTAAGTGCCGTGAAATGTTCAAAGGCGTTCGTTGAAAACACCGGAACAATCACCGACAGCGAAGCTGATTGATTTCTTGGTAAATAAAGGGTTAATCCCTTTTACTCCAGGAACGTTGTGGTGCCGCTTACATTATCAAAGTATTCCTTAGAAGATGTGTTTTCTTTATTACAAATTATTTCTGTTAAAAACATAATACGCAGACCTCGATGTATAATACCTGTAAGCTCAGGGATCTAGAAAATTTTAATTCGATACTGGACCGGTATCGATCCTGACCGTCTCGAGCGTATAAATTTGCTGAAAGCCAGCGTCGAGCGGATTTGACGAGCAAGATTGACACGGTTTACCAATTTCAAAGACGGAGCGACATCCATGAATCAAACGGTGAAGTCTCGCGCGGTTAATTCAAGTTTCGCAAACTGAGCGTAGGTCGCATAACTCGTGAAATAATGCGAGACCACGTTGCAAATTCAAATAGAGAAATATGTAGTAAAAGTGTCGAATGAGTCTCGGCGCCCAATCTATTCCTACTTTCGGTATCCTGTGTACTTACAGAGTTGACAACAATTTCTTGGAATTAAATAACGTACTCGACGCCACTTGAAAAGCAAAACAACCGTGAAGTAGAATAATACAGGTCTGGTTTGCAGTAGCGTTATCGAGAACCGAGCAAGGAAAAGGACGTCGAAATAATTGTTTCACCTTTGCGCTGTAAATTTATTACAGAACGCCTTATCAGGGGCTGAAAGCGGACGCGTGGATTTAACGATAACTCGAAATAAGTTAAGCCCAGTTTCCGGTATGTTATTTATCAACTTCAAGCGCTAATTGCTCGGTACAATGGCCGCCTATGCGGCCTTACCTGACGCGAATGCAGATCGATGCGACACGTCGTGCGCGACGGTGATTTATCACAGTCATCGTGTCGACTGATCCGCCCGCGATCGTCTGTTTGCTTGTTCTTTCTCTTAATTATTCGAATGATGTGCTCGTATCGCTATTACGTTACGTCGAAGCCAAATACGAACGACCGTTGCATCGAAAAAACTTTGAAACGTGCACCAGCGTTTTTCAAACATGTTTATGTACGAAACACTTTTTTATCTCGCGATATATCTACGAAGCATTCTTTCGCGGCTATTTGGGTTTTTTCATGAAAAATTTCGTACGACTGGATGAAAAATTTCTGTTGCAGAGGAACATCCAGCTGCCATGCATCACGGAGAAGGAAGTTCGTCGTATGCTCGGACGCGGCCGATGTGTTTTATAATTTTAATAATAGTTAACGTAATATTTATATAACGTGAAACGAAGAAACCGAAACGAAGACGAAACAAACACTTACCCGACACGATAATACAACGCGATTTTCAGTGGAGTCGCATCGCCTACGATCGTTACCGTTCTTTGGGAAAATATTTGTGCAGGGTAAAACCGAATATTACCTACATTTACATTGAATTTCCGTGACCAAAAGAGTTTTCGAATATCAGCACGGCACAATAATCGGTAAGAGCGTAGTATTTTGTTAAGATATATCATCAAGAACGAATAACTTACGACGTCAAAATTTATTGTATTATTTGTAAATAAATTTATTGTATGTACATATCAATAAAACAATTGTCTTTACCTTCCGGCTATTTTTCTGGCTGTTGTACCGGAATAGAATGCTGGACGGGAATTAATTTTATACGCCCTCTGTTTTTAATCGTGCCTCGTAATCGGTAAATATCATGTACCTAGTTTCATTTTAGCCCAGTTCATCGATTCGATGTTAATAAATGTGCTCGGACTTACACGAAATAGAATAGTTTTTGCGATTCAGAAATTTTCTACCATATTCCCTTATAAAAATATTGCCTAAAAACGCTTGGCTATTGATTTTCGTTACACTCCGAACGATAAAATATTTGATCTAAAACGTTCGCCCGCACAAAAGTTTACCGTATTTTTACCCCCAAATATACCGTATTTCGTATACATAAAGCGTTACCTCGATGCGCTATTTGTTCTCACAGTGCCACGAACGGTATAAAAGACTTCGTACGAAGAGTGGAGTCTCCTCTTCAGCTCTCACGAATACATTCAGCCCAGTATTTCTGGCAGGAAGTTGCCGAAAGAAACGTCGACGCAGCGACGGCACCGGCTAATGACAGCGTTAATTACTTCGTCTATCTTGAGCCCATTAATTACACTACGGTGCAACTGACTTTTCCCGGGAAGCTACCTACTCGCCGCGCTGGCCAGAGGAACCGGTAAATTACGACCAAACCCGAATATTCTCGACTTGCGATAAACTTGCTCGACAGTAGAATGCAGTTGTTCATCCGTCGATTATGTCAACGTGAAAGTAACGATCCAGATTTAGTTTCGGTCGAAACAGGAAATGTGTTTCGTTGAAAATTTGGATTCGGTGCTAGACTACGTTCTACGTTCATTCTTTTCTTGCGTTTATTGTCCTTCCTACACCAAAAAAAGAATTGCCCGTTTCTTTTTGTTTTCCTTTTTTTTAATTGCTCGCGATTTAACTCGGAACGCGCGCTCACCGTTTCGTCGTTGAACTCCACGCGAAAACTGGGTCGTTCCGACCTTTTAACAACCTTTCGACTAATTCTCCGTGTCGAGCTACCTCTACCCGTTCGCAACCAGTCTAACACGCGATAACCCCAAAGCAACGCTCGTCCAATTACGTTTTATCAAATTCGTATATTTTGATTTACCAACTATCGATTTGCTTGGAATGGATGCGGCTGCGATAAGAAGCGTGCGCGCATCGCGATGCAACGGACGCGGAGCTGTTACATCGATTATTACGTATCGTACATTTTACAAGCCTGCCCACGAAGACAATTATCGTATACTAATGCGATTGTAAAGCTAAGTTACAGCTCGAGCGGTGTTCAAATAGTCGATGAAGTCGACTATTTTTGGATCCCTCGAGCGCGGAATCATTGGTGGAGCGGTCCATGCACGGGGTTGCTGTTGTTGGTGTTGTTGCTGCTTGATCCACCCGTTCGCCTTTCCCTTCTTCTTGTCGCGTTTTCGCGGATGCTCCTGCAGCGTTATCGACTTGCCGAACACGAAGAGACAAGGCCCGAGATAAGGTCGGAAATCGGGTATATGTTGCTTGTAGACGAGGCTGAACCCGCCAGTGTCTGCAGCTGCGTTCATAGGCACGTCCATTACCACTGAAACGAATTCCAAGTGCTTAAAAATAATATCGAAAATGAATTCACAACACTTCGACGTTCAAAATCCGCCCTGTCAATCAATTACTTATTTCTTTTCAAAACAGACTTTTTGTATAGTGGAAAGCAGGTTCGCGAATGAAACAGGGTAAATTGCGGGACGGAGTGTCATGGAGAACGAGTCCAAAATTAATAAGCGGTCGAAAAAAGCCAGACTGGTAAATTAATTTTGCCGCAGCGGGCGGATATGATTTTTCTGCTTGAATCCGTAGTCGAAATAATATTTCTTAAGGGTACTACGCCTCCGCAACTAACACGTGTAAAAGATAAAATTAATATGTACTTCGTTCCAACGTTTTCGTCCAACTTTTATGCAGCGTGGTTTTATACGCTATACGAAATTAAAAGAACACTTTTAATTCCCCTAATGACGAAATACTTTTTATCGTTCTTGTTTCGTCCTTTCGTCCAAAGATACGCAGTTATATAAACTTGTGCAGTCTAACTATCGGAAGGAAAAAGAAAAGGGGGTTGTTCTCGAAGGGATTCTCGATCGACCTAGATTCGATCGGAGAGAACGAAGGTCATTTCTGTGAAAGACCCGCGACCGAAAGAGTCGAAGGTTGTCCGCTCGATTCCTATTCCGAAGCAGCAAAGTTGTTTAATCAGAGACCGGAAAGCCAGCAGTCGATACTAGACGATTTCAAAAGCTCGCTCGAGTATTCGCAAGGAAGCATCGGAGGATACGCTATCCGTTGTCTTGTTCCGACCTCTCCACTCTCGAAAACTTTCTCCCGCATTCTCGGTTTCTGACAACTTCCTTCGATCCCCTATAGATCGTAGTTTGCTAACCTTTAACCAAGCTCTGGAGGACACCGGAATAGAGGCGTTTGGTAATTCTCGAGCTGGGCGGGTGCATCCGAGGATTCGTGTTGATCTCGATCAACCAGACGGAGAGGTCTTCCATCACGACGAAATCAGCTCCGTACAGCTCGAAACTGCACCGTCGCCTGTCCATGTGTTCTTGGGAGGCTAACATCGTCAGAACTATAGCTTCCGACATTTTCGGGTAAATCTTGTCGTAATACGGTTCGCCCTCGAGTCCCATTTGCCTGCCAAACACAACGTTACATTGTCGATCGCGAGGTTCCTCTACAACCCATCCGCTGGGAACGACGTGTGTACACAGTCACGCCATAATTCTCTCGGTGAAATTGAAAATAACGTAAGTAGTCGGTCCTAATACATTTCAACGCGCAAAACTAAAAGTTCCGTCGATCTAAAGCCGTTTGTAAAATTGTAAACCTCTAATAAGCAGCTGCAACTTGTGGATGCATTTAAACGACGGGCAAACAAATATTTTATAAAGCTGTAATCGTGATTGAAACGACGATCGAGCTAACGGCAGGAGGCAGCCGATTATCCGGCAAGAAAGCACGCGCTACGCCGAGCATATTTGCACACCGGACCTATCAATCTCGAGATCCCCATGGGCTATAGACCGTAACGAACGGATAACCGAAACTTGGCGTACGAGCCGAGAAGACCGCTCGAGAGATTACTTTAAATATTCGTTCAGCTTCTCGCAGTCCCATCCCTGATCGCGAACCGATTTTACGACTTCCTCCGAAATTCCACGCTTCCTCCTTCTCCTCCTTTCCTCGTCGTACTTCTCCTGAATGGCGGTATTGCAGATATGAATCGCTTCGTGATAAGTTGAGAAAGTGTAGGGCTTCGAGCTGAACCGAAGCAGTCCTTCCCTGATGGAAAAGGATAGGAAAGGATCGAGAAAATTCTGTGATGAAATCTAGTCGAATCTCTGCCAGTGAAATGTCTTCGAGAAAAATACGAATGCGCTTTCCCGATGAATATTTCTTTCGAGAAACGCTGCGCAAACTCGTTCATCGTCACGCATTTTTTCCTTCGTATTTATTTCTCGTTAGTAGATTCGGGTGTTTGCGAAATTTTAGTTCGATGAGATGCAAAGGTATAAGTAATTACTTGAATAACCATATTGTCATAGGAAACGTATTGGTGACCAAATACCACTGCCTGATATCGAACTTCGTGTCGTGAATCAATAAAGGACGCTCTGAAAGGAAGGCGAACGGAAATTGAATATTACGGCGGAACCCGAATACGTAGAAAAACGAATGAAAATTTCAAAACACCCACCGATGTACTTTTGAACGATGAAATAATCCTTTGGACGACTCTTTACCTTTCGGAATATGTCGTTCAGGTTGTGAGATATACTGATACCGGTACCGCAACAAAGTTCACTGGGTTTCAGGATCCACGTGTTCCGCATTCCATTCAGCTCGTACTGCGGATCGACCTCTTTCAATTTCGACAGAGTCGACTTTGCTGCTTCGATATACTTCTACCAAAATTCAGACGTATTTGATTAAATTGACAAAAAATGTGCAAGGAACTCGAACAAGTTACTCTGTACGTGCCCTAAATTAGTTTTCCTCGCATATAAAATAATTGCTTTTGAATTTCGTACAAATCGGAGATAAACAAATTCCAGTAGCCTACTTGGAGATATTCTTGACTTTTCTCTGAAATATTCTCGATTCTCCCGTAATCGTGGACGGCTGTGGCGTAATCATCCAAAAAGGAATTCCACTCCTCTTCCGAAAGCTCGGCGACAAAGTCTTCATCTATGTTCTTATGGCTCGCGCAAGCAATAAATTCCTCGCAGCGTTTTATGGCAAATTCCACTCGACTCATTGGAATCGTACGCTGTCCCAGGTCCACCGTGTCCCGGTTGTCTTGCATTCTTTCTACGAACCACTTCAACAGGCCAGCAGCAGCGGTCAGTCGAAAATCCTCGAGGAAAGCTTTCGGTTCTCTGCTGAGGTTGTAACTTCGAGGGAATAACACGCTCGACACGTCCTTCTCGTACAACCAGTGAGCTTCTTCCAGTATACGAGCCATTCCTAGCTACATTATTCGTAAACGCAATCATTTTACCAACTACATCGAGTTACATTTAACCGGCTATATTGAAAATCCAGGGCGTCAAATTATTAACGTTGCCAAAGAGCCAACGACGCGCTTCTATCGATCTTTTCAAAAATCAGAGTACCAGACAAACTTGGTTCCACGTTTTCCATTTATTTTTTAGAGATGAATCAATCGTTTTCGGCTGTATCACGAGTTACAGTATACTGCGTACGGTCGAGCGAATTTTACGACAGTCGCGTTTCATGTTCTTATTCTATCTTTATAGAGTTTGGAGACGGGGATATTCCATAAAATAGAATGGTGGTGTTAACCTTGGAGGTGTAAACTGAGGGTTTCTGATATCTGTTGAGGAGGGTATTGCTACTTAGGCCACGGTGCCAGTCGACAAAGTCGTTTCGGGAGTCCCATATAAAGTCAGGCGATTTGTGACGTAGTAAAGCGAAAACCACCGCTCTCTCGTTTAATGTTCCGTCCGGTTGAGTCAGATCGCCTAATGATCTTGCCTCTAAGCTGGCCACGCTACCTGGAAATTCAATAAGAATTCTAAAGAAGATTGGGAGCACCTTCTGTGCTCTCGATTTGAACTTCGAGGAAGATTTTTTACGTTATTTACACAGTAACCGTAAAGAATATTGGTCAAAAGTTCACCAAGGATAAAAATACTTTCTTTTATTTAGACATTTTGCCGTCGTTTATGCGGTTAATTTTTAATTAGAGAAGCGGGGAGAGAGAGAGAGAGAGAGAGAGAGAGGGGGGGAGTGAGAGTAAAATGCGAAGAAGAGGAAAAAAATTTAATTAAGGGAGGGAAGGAAACTAACCGTAAGGTAGTGTTCTTGTTTTTGTGGCTTCGTATTTCTGCACCCAGCCTCTTCTCTCTAGAGCTTCCTTCAATTTTGGCAACTCGCCGCGTATCAAAAATATTTTGTGCCTCTGGAAAGCGGTGATACGTTCTTTAAAGTATATTAAACCTCTTGAATATTTATATGGAAATGTATGAGAAATATCGTTTTAAGAACAATTTTCTCAATCTCAATCTCGATTTGTTTTGAAATTACCTTGACGGCCTTATTCACTTTGGCCTTAATTCGTTGATAACACTCTTTTCGCATCCAATGGGCTTTGCAACAACCGTCGTCTTTGAGAACAATGCTCCTGTAGTTGGCGATAGCGTCTGTATCGTAGTTGTCAAAGGTCTCCCGAGGACAGCAGGAACACGTGTCCATGTGCGATTTCGGGAATGCACCACAGTCGAGTTGCGGTAGACTGTTAACAGCGCTGATCTCATTGTCATCCGTGTCCGGAAGCGGCCATTTCGAGTTCATTTTCGTCCAGTCTGCTCGATTGTACGGATTCACAGGGCTCTCCTTCTTTTCCAGGCTGATCAAAGGAGCCAATTTGCTGCAGGATTGGTCCGCTTTATCTTCGCTCGAGGAATCCGTTGTCGCTGGATCTTTCGTGGTCTTAATGTTCCTTGACCGATGAAGGTGAAACGTTCTAATTTATTACGCGATGTCTACTGAAATACGTCCTTGTTTCTAATCCTTATCAACTCTAATTTCAAAAGGTTCGATTCCTCCAAAATTAAAAGTTATTTAAAACAGTACACGCACCTGAGATCGAGCGGCAAATCCATCTTTGTTACAAGCGGATTTTTACGAATAACTGAGCTGTTTCTTGACCGAGCCGAATTATTTCACGTCAATTCCTACACAAATCACGAAGTCGATATTAACTTTTCTAAATATAGCAACTACTGAGAAAAGGTCATCAATGCGACTAGGTTCAAAAGACTCGACGCGTACACAGAGAAGACTTGGATTAGACGGGACGCTCGAAACGGTGCAAATATTTGTCGATGCCCTTACACTTTGAACGCCTAATGGATGAAGTGGGGAAGGTTAAATCGATCAACCCGTCTGTTTAACCCGGCCGCCTTATTGTCTGGCAAGCTTAATCGCCTAAGTAATTAACCTTTATGCCGCGAACTTTGAGGAAACCGGTTCTTGCCGTTATTAAAAAGGGCCATACTAATTTGACACCGACAACGCGAAGCATCTCCTCCGCGAACAAAGTCCGTATTTAAATTAAAAGAAAGGTTCGGGTTGAACGTCATTTTTCAAGTTAATTTAAACTAAAGAGACGGTGTTCGAGTTGAAATTTTAGCAAATCGCAAGCCAAAATATCGAAAGCCGACACAATTATGGAAAATTAATTCGTTTGGAATTTTCTCTCGAATACTTGCCATATTTATCCTCCTTTGTCGGAATGGCAACGAACAATTTTGGGAACACGAACTTCATTTCACCGATTGAAAAATGGCGACATCTAGCCTCTTCCTATCGTGAAAATGCTTTATGAAACTTTATAGAAATCGCGCGATCATACGTACGCTTTTTAAGTTTCTACAGCGAATGTCTTGCTAAAGTTTCATCGGTTTCCAAGGGTTGACTAAAGGCTTCCTCATCGATATCTCTGAACCAGTCGTGATTTCTTCGGTTCGGTGAAAGCCTTCCACGGTAGCCCGAGACACACGATTTAACCCCAAAATTTATTTCATAGTTCTTTTACTCCAAACGATTTCGATTTCTGCAATTTGCGGATTTTTCTTAATTCATCATCGGACAGACATGTTGCTTTTACTCGATCGTCTACTTTTATTCCTTAATTCAACGACTACGCGCAGCAAACTCTTCTAAAACGTTGCGTTGTTTGTTTATAATTTTCGTCCCTCGAAGGCATTTTACGAACTGCGGCAAAGAATAATCGAAAATGAAAAGCAACGGATCTGGTCGATACGTAACAAAAATAAATCCTCTCCACCAAAGGTAATACATTCCTGCGCGTGAGTAAGTATGTTTATTTTCGGGAAACGTATGTATGTGTGTACATATGTGTCGGAAAACGAAATCTACAAATCCCGAGATTCTCGATACAGTGAAATATTTCGCGCATCGATATCGTCGATGCAGCAAAATTCAGTACGCTCCTGTTTTCAACACCTCGATACGTCGTTCAATTCTATCAGTGTGTTATTTTTCTTTCAAGTTATTATTTATTAACAATACAAATATTATAACATTAAGGTTTATGAAATTATTAATTTTTAATCATAATAATCTTTTGTATGGTACATACGTATACACATTGGACGCGCATCGACGGGTTCAATAAAATTAAACGTTCATAAATTTTATGCGTTTATTCCACGTTTCACGCGATCCTGTTATAGTTCGGCAGAATTTTATGTAGAACAATTTCACGTGTCGCGTTTCATCTCATACGATTAAATGTACTCGTGTTGGAAAATCTGTGTCGTTAAAACGTCCAAGCCATGGCAAATAGCTTTCGAATCGTTGTTCGGCAGACTTCGATATAAAACGTTACATAAAATGATAGTATTTATAAAACTCGTCGGAAATGTTACCATGAACTAAAGTACAATATACGGATATAGAACTATAAAAGTTAACAATATTACCACGAACACGAAAGTAAGTCGATTAATGGTTTTTTAAAACATTCATCTATTATTCGACTAAAATTTGGCCTATTTCAGCATTATAAGAGCAGGACTCGGAGAGTGAAAATCATGTCAGCGAAACATGCTTTTCGATCCAGCCTGCTGCAGGAACGAACGGGTTAACTAGCTAAGTAACCGCGCCCACTGCACTCTCTAATCACCAAAGGCACCAGGAATGCTTTTAAACTTTCCATCCACAATTACATCGTTATTCGCATGGAAGCGCCTATTAGACTCTCCATTATTCTAATTATGGAAGAACCGTCTGCAATATACGTATGTCTCGATTAAAGTTAAGAAAAATTCTCTCGAATACACAGAAATCAGACTCGTCGATTTATGGAACCAATGTTTCCTGGACGTCAATTTCCGGGAATGTTCACCGCATGGTAATCACTTTCAATATCGTACGCGACACCGCGCAGGCGAACGAGAACATTCAGAAAATAAATGTGGTTGACAGGAAACTTGAAAAATATCTCCTCTCTGGCTGATGGAAATGCTTCCGAAGAATGCGCGTGCTTCTGAACAATGCCGGCGACTGCCAAACTTTTTCGACCTTGCCAATTTTTTCTGTTCGACAAATTTTTCGCGCACAAAAACCTTCGAATAGAATTTCAATCAGTTTGACGATGTAAGGCTTCCAAATATTTCGATGCTTTGGTGCGACACCATCGGATTTCTAAAAGTTACACGTTTCGTTGGCCAACCAATTAGAACCTAAAGCTATTCGCACTTCAATATTGTGGAAAGTTACGCGTGTCCTGCGCGTCTCGTCGCAACTGCTAAACAAGAGTTATCTACGACGCATCGCGCCCGTAACAGAAATAAACTCGCGGTTGTATAAATCTTATTACAAGGTAATCTTGTTTGAAAACGCTAGAGTACTTTCGCACTTGTATCGCGGGCTCTGCAGATCTTATACGAAGCATTTTCGAGGAAGAAACAAGTTACGAAGTTTGTCGGCTGAGTTCATGGTGCTTGCGAATGGTGGTACGGCCTCGTTTCTCCGCGCTTTGGCTAGAACTTCTCCTCTCTTCTCTACCAAACGCAAATATCCTGTTCCTACCCCGTTGCGCATACGGCGAAAGGGTTCGTTCGCGATGCCTTCGGATAAAGATTCTCAAACTGGAGCTTTCGAGGAAGGTTGGGAGCATCGAAGGATTTTCGTTCACCTGTTCTTCTCGAGGCGAATACAGCTAACGACACGTGCTCTAGGGTAACAAGCATCATTATCAGTGAAAATGTTTATACGAGTTAATTGTTTCCTCGAGTCGAGGAGTCGACGATACCTGAGAACCTCTGGCTTAAACTTGCGCAGAGGATATTTCAGATCTTCTTCCGAGTGACGATAGCAGAAGGCCATCGTAAACGTTCTCCTTTTGAAGAGTATTTTTCAAGACTTGGGTATCTTATCTTGTCAATATGTATAAGGCTACAAAATATCTCGAAGAAAATCCTCTTACTTTTTCTAGAAAAAGCCACGGCATTAAGAGAACGAAGACCTTTTTATTTCCTTTGGACACGAGTATACTTTACTCGTTGGACGTTAAACGTCGATACCATCGATAAATATTTATTTCTATCTCGAGCGTGCTCACGGTTCAAAAGACGTCTACCCTAAGCGAAGAATTACCAATTAGCCGAGCATTGTGAGTGAATTGTAAGACCGGAACCTTAATATCGGCGACGTGCGCGGCTCCGTTTACATCGAGATACAGTTTTCACTGGAACACGATATTCGACTTAGTGTTCTCGAACGATGGCGGTTTAAGGTGAAACTTTATAGCGTTACTATCCCGTATAATGGAATTATCGGATTATCCTGTCGTCTATTTGAGAGAACAGTGGTCGTTCGGTGGAGAAGTCTACTAATCGCGACTAGGTAGCATCGCTTTTCTCACCTGTATCGCCGTTTAAAGCAGAAACTTGATAAAGGCAATTTGCAAGTCGGTTAATAGCCATACTATTCACCGACTATGGGTCGTTGTCGAGTCATATCGCAACCAAAGCTGCCGGAAACGTTCGTCCTCTATTTATTTGCTCGCACAGTTTTCTAGTTGTATCGAATCCTAATTTTTATTTAACCTATACCAGATGAAACATTGTTTACTATTTATCTATATTCAAAATTTTACACTCACTATATCGCTGATAATTTACATCGCGAAAAGAGAATTAGCATCCGGATTCAACGAACCCGCTACTTCGTACACTAGTTCTTTTTTTATTTAGCTTTCGCGCGCGTATAATCAGAGATACAGCACGTCACGTATTGTCGTATGCGCGGTCAAGAATTTTACTCAGTGCAATCCTCTTTGTAGGTATTTTTCAAAGAGGAACGTACTGTATTACAGATGCAGCGTCGAAAAGAACGCGTACCCACGCCAAATGTTATATCGCTAAAGGGACCTTTGTGCAATTTAAAGCAAAGTCATGTATTACGTAGATTCTTCTTTGAGAACTATTTTTCTCCGAGTACTGCTCTACTTCGTGTTCCGTCGCTCTACTTCCGCCCAACGTATACGAATTCAAACCCAGGCAGCAAAGTTTCCATCTTGCGCCATGTATTGTCGCAGATACATAAGAGGATATCGCATATTTTCCTCGCGTCTAACGCCCGCGATCTTTACGCTCCTCTTTCCTTGTTTGCTCCTCTTTAAAAAAATAAGAATATTATTATCGTATCGGTCATGTTTCAAATGTTCGAATGTGCTCGTTTCATCCTGCAAAATTTTCGAGTCAGTCAAATTGTGGCGATGACTTTAAAGGTGCGTTTCCAAATCGAGCGTAGAGTTTGACTATCGACGAAAAAATATATATTACCGCAAAACGTTCACCGCTGTTGTTTAAAATTGTTGAAAAGAAATCGAGCTTAATTATTTTCCCTTTTTCGGTAAAATCGCGTCTGTTCCATGTTGCCGACAGAAACCAGTTTCTTTCTTATACAGAACCATTACCATTTCTTGCTCAAAGTGGCTAATTACGTGAGAGAAATATACTCTTCGCCTCCCTTTCATCGTCGATTCCTTTCAGTCTTCTCTTTCTCGGCTGCGAAAGCAAGCACTACTTTGTAATGATCCCATTTTAAGAACCGAGAAAATAAACTAGACGATGATTACTCTTCCGACAGTACCCTTTGCGTTTCGTTTCGAACTGCCAGTGTCATGCGTTTCAGACATAAGCAACTTTTCCTTCTTCTCAAGACGACTCCTCGCGAGATTTCGTTGATGCTTCCGTCTTTGCAGACAAAGGAAAGATTAAAGCGAAGCAACGCACGAGTCCATGCGTCGTATTACATAAGTATACAAAGCAGAAACGTAATCGTTCCGCTCATTAGTACCGTCTAGACGTAAAGTATCAAAAAACGTATGCTTCTTGTCTCGAGTAATATTAAAAATCTGAACTCTCGTGAATGTTCGAGAGACGTTTTTTCGTTAGCGACAAATTATTACTGTCAAAGTTGTATTTACATTTCGATATTCTCGCTTCAGATAAATATATAATCTTATCGCAAGAGGCCCTGCAAAGCACATGTTCTATGTGCGTACCTGAGGCCTCTTTAAGCATGATTGGCGCAACTACGATGCGCAGAGTCAAGTTTACGTATAATTCAGAAGACTTAATGCACAGACCCAACGCGCGATAGTTAGTTCTAACGTAAATATTCATATTATTCGTAGCAACATCATTTCACAAGTATTTCATGACAACGAAGTCGCAGTACGCATCTTTGAAATTGCTTATCTTGCTTAAAAAATTGTGCTGCACGTGAGTATGTGTTTCAACGTTTGTAAAATATTCTTGACATGCGAGTAAGCAGATGCTGACTGGCGTGGCTGATCGAATTAGACGTACTTTAAACCTTGTTACATTATTATCGTTATCTGAGACGTGCGCATAATAGATGGTTCGTTTAGATTTTTACCGTGCGCAACGGTAATTATTGTCCACTTTTAACATTATCGTGTCACAGTTTGAACTGGCTCGTACCCGTGCTGCTCATCGCAAATACTCAACGGAAGAGTTTCATCTCGAAGGAAAATCGTTACAACTACAACGCGAAGGTAAGTTGTGGCTACTGTTTTAACATTTCGTATTTCATTTTGTAATCGTGCACAAATTTCTAACGACCCGTGAAAATATAATGCACTATGTCAAAACAAACGGTACATATTAATATGTATATCTTATTGTATACGCGAATTATTCTTCCATTATATTATGTTGTATAGTTGTATAGTTTCATTCATGTGTACAATCCAACGAACGCTAGAATGAAAAAGTACAAAAAAATGTCAGTAGCGAGCATCGCGTCGCGATAAAGCAAAAGAGCTTTCCTCGGGAAATGTTGCCTGCCAAGTGACTTTTTGACGTACGCGTATTCGTTTCCATGGTAACTATCTGGAGGAAAAATTCGTTTCCGGTACACGAGCTGAAAAATCAGTATATTCGGCACGGGCAAACAATGACACGTGTGCATCTCCGTTCTCCAAGTGTGACGTACTACATGTCCGTTGGCTATGGCGTTGGACTTGATAAATGTATTCTGCGCGAGAAACTGGTTGCAGTTTTCCGCATAGTAACCAACGAGAAAAAGAAACATTTCGTGTAATTGCAAGATGGATTCGGCAGCTAACACGTTTCAAAAAATCCGACATTTTCCAAACACAAGCAGAAGGGAAATTTAGGAATACGTAATTGAAAAACGACCTTTCGAAGCTCCCGTAGCAAATGTTGATTCTACATCTACAAATGCTATCGAATCCTTAAGAAAGCACAAACAATGTTTCCTCGGTCTCTCATTTTGCCATTTCAAAATTGTACGCTTTTAACGTCAGTCGAAACCTGGACAAATATACTTTAGATCAAATGAAGCTAGCAATACGTTGAACGATGCCTTCGAAGACAAAGTAGCGAGAACAAACGTTCGATGTTCGAGTATAAAAGCTCGGAACTAATGCATTCTGTGTGCGTTTTAAATATACCTTTTCGAATAAATTTTCTGAACGTGCAATGAGAGGAGATACGTAAATAAAATACTGCAGACATTTCAGCGAGAACAAAGACGGTGATCGATCCACGTCGTGACGGTTGTATTCGTGCCGATACATCACGGTTAATAGAAAGCTTAGCGGGGCATTTCTGGAATATGGATAAAACTCGAATAATTTATTCAACTGGATATAAGACGCGTATATAAACGAAGGTAGGATTTACCAGGCAAGCACCGAGATTTAAGGTAGCGCACGTCGAGTGTAAATGTTTGCATAATAAATTGGCCAGACGTCTTCTCTCTCCGTCTCTAGAGACATCGGTCATGCATACATCCTTTATCTTGCGCGTTATAGTATTTTCCCACGCACTGTTGGAATACATCACAGCAAGGTAAATATTGACGAAGATTTCAAAGTATCTCGCAAATCCGTCTAACGTACCTCTACTCTTCTTTTTGATCTGTTTACAAAAACAAATATCGTTAATCGTTGTCAGCTTTTCAATCGTTCACCAAATCAACTGGATTAATTTAATTTTCACATGGTGTATCGACGTCTCTGAAAATTTCACTTTTGTAACACCCAACCATGGGACGCTAATGAGCAAAGTTCATTAGCAACAGTCGAACGGTTGATTTAACTAATTTAAACGAGCATCGACTCGTTTCGCGGCTCAAAGCGAGTCGGTTCTGTGATTTGAAAAGTCTGAAAGTAAAGTAGTCGCGAGTTAAACCGACGCCAACGCCTCGACTGGAACTCGTGGTTAACTCAGCTGACCAGATGCAAGGCAACTTTTGATTGAATACACTACCACTAAGTCCGCGATGAATTTCGTCGGAGGTGGGTTCATGCATGCGCGATGAATGCGGCGAACTAAAGGGATTGGATTTAAACGAGGTAACTTTCTTTCAATAAGCTCTTCTTAGCGACCATTAAGGAGCTCTTGAAGCATGCAAAAGCACTACGAAGTTTCTCCTCGACAGTTTTATCCAGATATTTCCCTCGAAACGAAGTTACGGCCGACCGGGTGCGACTATCTATCGATTTGAACCGCGGTTAACTATAAAAAGGAAATTGCTCTGCCTACGCAGCCAGAGTGAACTAATAACGACGTCGAATCCAAATAAATCGATTTGCTTACCGTCTCGTACTGAATTCCAATTAAATGCTCGACAAAGGAATCTTTCCAAAGAAAGCCCTCGAAACATCATTGTTCCTTTATGATTTCTCTTGTACAATTGTAACTCATACGTTGGTCTTGTCAGTTGTACGACCCGCATAAAGGGAGATTGTGCATCGAATCCTTAAACGAGAAAGACGACATTCCACAAGGGGATAACCTCTTTGTTTCGTTAATCTCGCCCGTGGACCGTAGATAAAGCCGGGTTCGCTAGTTCTAAACTTGCCCGGTGCTCAGAGCCGTTATGTCAAACCGTGGCGACAGGAGTCAGAAGAGAGAGTTATATTGTACTTAGTCGTATACAGAGACATGCAAGGTGAAGCGAGGGAAGACGCGGCATACACGTCTACGACGTTGTTACGCCCTCGGGGACCTATTCAAACTTCTCACCCCTTTCGACCAACCTGCATAGACGCTCGTGCACCAATCATTAGTGGTCGCTCTTCTTTTCTTTCAGTCTGTTCTTAAATTTCGAGTATTACAATTGCATTTACCGCGCCCAATGTCTTCCACGATTTTACATGCAAAATATGCCAAGATTGCATTTCGATATTCGATTTAGGTATGCAACGAGGACAGTAATACTGCCGCGAATATCAACGACGATATCCAAATCGCGAGGTCGTTCTATCTCTCGCAATGCATAAGGACTTCGACAGTCACGATTTTAAATTAGCCGACAAAACGTAATCTCATTGTGTTTCATTTTTAAACTACTGCATACCATCTTATCTAAACACTTTCCTAAATTACTTGACCTCATACTACTCTTTATGGTCGTTTAGTCGGATTTTATTAAGTTTACACGATAAACTCGCGACTAATCGAATCTTAATCTCGCATTTGCAGTATCCATTTTTGAAGCACGCGAGACCGTTGCATAATAAGTACGCGACAAAAACTTGCGAAATTTATGAAGGAGGCGGGAAACAAGCGCGAATTTTGCATCGTTTAAGGGTTTCATAAATTCAACATCTTTACGGCTTCACACTGGCGCGTAAAGTTTCCAATATTCCATTAAGCGTTCTTCATTCCGAGAGCAAATTTGTGAATGCTGTTGGCGCCTGTTCAACCACCACCTGAAATCACGATTTCATCGGCAAGGGAAGATCACGAATATAGAAATTCGTGGGAAGTTCCGAAGTAATCAGAGCGTCGCCGTAGCTAGGTTTGGCTCCTCGAGTAAATTCGTTTCGTAATCTGATTTCGTCAGTGACGATTTGCAGTTCGCAGTTGCCGCTCCCGGTATATTGGTGCAAACATTGCACAGTTCACGTCATTCGATGCATAGTTAGCCGGACATTGTGTCCGGGAAGTTTGCTTGCATAGTTGTGTCCAGCTATGGCGACCCTGCGCATGAATCTTCCTTCGAGTTTGGTGCTCTAATCTTCCAGCGGACAACTGCGCAATATTCTAGCGGTACACGAGGTATGCGATACTCAAACTGAGAATAAACCCTCATATAAATAAAACCTGTTGACCAGCACCTGCAAAATAAAAAGTCGCTGATGATACGATGCAACAGAATATTTGAAAGAACTTAATGTAAAAGAAACACGAAGGAATTTTGGTTTAGAATCTCTGCATCGTGCTGGCGTGTCTCGAAGAAGAAGACGAATCACGTAACAGAAAGATGGTACAAGTGCTTCTGCTGTTCCAGCAGGTTAGAAATCCTCAATTTCACGGCTCGCTTCTCGAAGAGCTACATATGTAGTTTTCCTATCGCGACTGTTTGCATTCAAAGAACTTGAACCGAAAGCAGGCTCTTGTCCTTCGATGGTTACTCCTCTTTTCTCTTTTACTCGCATTTATCACGTATTACCGCCAACTCAAACAATAGTTTAAGTCTCTGAAACGAAGTATGCCGATGGACAGCGCAAGATGTCATCGTGACATTTATGACGAAGTATTCGTTTGATCATAATATCGAGGTAATACTTTCTTCTTATCTTCGTCCTTCTTACAGAAGTATATATTTGATGAGAGGCGTGTAACTGCGAGTGTACTTCTTTCCGTCTTCTTTCGTTTTTTTCAAAATCATATTTAAGCGTAATTAGGAAATAGAGCATCAACAGATTGCTTTTCCTCGAAAGTTCTCTTCAGAATTTCCATCATAAATTATTCCCAAGTGCTGGAATTCCTAACAAATTCCAAAGATTTGAATTTTTCTTCGGCATCTCGGGCTCTTCGTTCTGGAAGTTATTAACTTTCCAACCGAGCCGACGTTCGAGCGTTTCTTCTTCGAAGAAAGGTACTACTCCTGGCTCCATAAATAATCGGGCCGAGAGCAGAAGAAGCTACGCAGTTACGAAGTTCACGACTAACGCTACTGCTAGCGTTCGGTTCCCGCACTTTTGTAACAACGAATACACAAACTCTCCGGCCTCGCTTGCAAACTCATTCGAGTTCATAAATTGCCTTTGACTTTGCTGCTGGGTGTTCCTGGCAAACCGTATATTCCTCGCTTAACAACGATGGTTTTCTTCGACGATTCATCTCTGAAACGTTCAATTTCTTCGAATGAAATTCAACATTCGATTTTTCGATATGGAATATGACAGGAGACAGCACAGCGTCGAATCTAGAAATGTTTTCAAATTAATTCATCGGTTAATTAAACCTTGAGAGTAGCGCGCGCTTCAATTTTTCAAATATTGATTGATACGAAAAGTTTAATAGTCTATTAATTTCGCGTGATGCTTGTTTGCGTGAAACGATTGGTCGATAGGCGACAATATCGAAACTGATAATATTTAATGTTTCAATTAAGCTAACGATGAAACGCTGCAATGGGAAACTTATTAACGTGTGAGCACGCAGAACGTTTTTCGTGCGATAAGACTTGATAAGACCAATACGATTCCAAGGTATGAGACAAAGTTTACTCAATGGTTGACCAGGCAAAGCGAACCGAGTCAAAGAAAGTCAGGGAAATGAATTCAGTATTTGTTTATAAGGCTCGATTTTCTAAATTTATTCATGAAACACCGCCGACCTCGTTCTTTATCATTAGGGATCACTCTATGCTTCGTTCGTTCGTAGTGCACGTCGAGGAAATGTCATTTCGCTTGTAGATTTCGAGAAACACGCCTCGCGAGTATTAAAATACATTTTCCAAAGTATTCCGTGATTTTTCCTACGGATCTTTACTTTTCGCTTTGATGGCTTTCTCGATGAATCGTACGCCGACGCTTCCATTATACTGGAAAAAAGTTCCGTGGTATTTCTTTCAGAAGTAATGCGAAACAAAACCAAGATACTATTGCCTGATTTTAATGTCAATACAATACTTAGAAAAAAAATTACGAATGGAGATTCTTTGACAGAATAGAGGTGTATTCGACGAAAACAGTTGCATACATTTTTATAAATAGCGAATTGCAAATTGTTTCGCAAGAGAAATTTGAAATGCGAATTCTTTGAGCGAAGTAACGGTAGACTAGCGAGATGACTTTGATAAATTGTTGAGGCGCGGAGGGTTACAAAGGTTAATGACAATTCTTGAAAATTCGATGAATTGCTCTAATTATGGCCGTAATTGCCATCAACGACATCAAAAGACTAATTGGTAGCACGTTCGCGCAGTAAGAATACGACTACAATTTCTGCGTACGGCTATTCCACCTTTAGCACTTACAAATTGCAGGTGATTTTTCCTTTCGCGCCAGTTCCGCTCAATTCGCTGAAAATCGCCATGTATATTTCCATGGTAACAATCCGGCCCGTTAAAAACACGCGGCGGGCATATTAAATATAATAATGGTGTCTTTGCGAAATATAACTCTCTATCGCGTTGCAATGGTTAACCAAATTCCAATATTCCTTCAACAAATGTTATATTGATTATAAATTAGCCAGCTTTAACATCCAAATTAAACTTCGATAGTAACAAAGCGGCAGGCGATTGTTTAAAATTCTACACATAAATTGTGATTAAAATAATATTCTGTTATAAATGTCTCGTCCTCTGTCCAACGCTGTCCTCATTCGTTGTACGCATATCGGGTATTGCTTTCGACATTCCTGGTTGCATTTCGAGTTATTTTCATTACCGTGTAAATAAGAGTACGCAGTGAGATACAGATTATTATCAATTGCGTGGAAAATAGTATTCGTGAAAATGTTGTTTCTAATTACACATGTTTAAACGAATTATGATTACTAAAGAACTCGTATACCGATAATGTCATTGAAATAATTTTAATTTCCTAATGGAGATTTGTCAATCTACATAAAAAGTGGAAGTTGCGTCTATCGTGACGCTAAGCATGTGAGAAATAGTCGTGCAATGGAGTGTAGGAGAACGAGTCGAGGCGAAGGATGCTTATATACCTTAAGCGAACTATGAGCTTCCGAAGGAGGTAATCTTGAGATCCCATACGGTTCGTGTCAAGGGTGTAATTGGAGCCTGAAGGCAATCACGAGATTATCTCGGACATCGTTCGCTCGCTATGTCTCTCGACAAACTTTACACGCTATTACCTTCCGGTAGAAACAAAGGTACCCAGAGGAGCCTTCGTTAAGTTGTCGCTCTAGCAACGAAGCGCCGATAGTTTCGGTTAAATGAAATACGGGTCAGCTATAAATACCAATCTATCGATGGAAACTTTAACATCGACCATGTACGTTAGAACGCTCGACTTCCTCGAATAAATTCAAACAATGCACGCTCTGGTGACGAACTTTCATGGCTAACATCGTTTAGGATATTTGGACGGACCAAAGATAGAGGCGAATAAAAATATCGACAGGAATCGAATAAAATGTAGTTTTTGAAAATTCGTTTGTTAAAATTAAGGTAAAACAGCACCCCGAAGAAACATGTATGTTAATTCGTAACAACAGTTACCGAAATGTTTTTATCAGCTATCAAAGTAGAAGAGTTTACGAAGAATAAAGTCGAAACGTCTACCCGCGTAACGTGCAACTTTTCAAAGGAACTTTGTACCGGGTGTTAACATCGAGCTGCTGAATTTCTCGCTGGGAAATTTGATTTTCTGCTCGGCGTTGCTGACACGCAGACAATGGCCAGTATGGGCCTCCAAAGTGGTGCACTCCCTCGGGCGTTAGCAGTCTAATAGCTTCCTCGTAATAATCGGCATAAAGCACCGAGCTTCCCTTTTCCCCGTTTCTCCCGAAGAAGCATCACGCGGCTCTATTAAAGTATTTCGTCTAACTTCCCCTGGTTCTTTGAGGACCGAGGGAAGAGAAATGGGAGGACTTCTTCCTCGACAGAATATCTACGTAGCGCGGAGAGCTTTTCGTCGAAAGCCACGTCGCGCGGTCGTTGTATACGAAGAAACCGAGTAGCTTTCAGTCGCGACGATTCTCAAAGTACGGGTCTGCTTTTTGTTGTTTGTCCCCGAATGGAAGGAAGCAGGGATCTCGTTGCAGATGCTGTTTCGAAGGAAGCGACGACGAATAGCTCGAAATTCACTTAACTGCAAATCGTTACTCGTCGACTTCCATTGCAACTAAGGCAAGATAGAACGTATACCGAAAGGTTGCGCGATTTCTTTACGTCCACCGGGTCTTAAACTAACGAGTTCCTACGTACAGAGCGTAAAAATAATATTTATCGCACCTTCGTATCTGAATATGAATATGTGATTTGTTTAGAAAATTTCTATCGTCAAATTTATTTCTCGTATTTTTGAACATCCAAAGAATTTTTACAAAATACATAAATGGGAAGAAATAATTCATCGCAAACGCTGACAGTAAATACAACGCTTAAAATATTTGAAATCTTGTTGATAGTCCGGATAAAATCGACACGATCATGCGAAATAAAACGAGGAACTCGTCACTTATCTGAAGTGAAATATGGATGAATTCTCTCGATAAATGGCTGCGTGAATACAGGAAGAATACACGGCAGGGTATCGACATTCTACATACATTTTCACTCAACACAAAACACGCAATACGCACTACGCGACACAACATAAACCACAAATCCCGAGCTCTCCGACCGACTCGTACCCTCTTTTATAATTCGTTTTTACCCAGCTACGTAAACAAGATGCACACGTAGCACCGTTTCGCGTTAACTTCGCCATTTAACGAATTTAATATTTTAGTCGAATGTACGTCGTCGCTATTTGAAAATTCCCATATATTTAATGGCATTTCGCAGTACCAATTTTGCTCTATACTTGCTTTTCATAGCCAATTTTACGACAGAAAATAATGATTTGTATGAGGAGAGCTAAATTCGCTGTAAATATTAATTAGAAATGCGTGGGATACTTTTACACGCTAAGTAAAGTGATGGAGAACGCGATGCTGTCACGAAAGTATTATATCTGAGAAAGTACTGCTGCTTCGCTTCCGACTTTGCGAAGACACATGTCAATTCCACGAATACCTAGAACGAGTTATGAAATTGTAGGGTAAAAGACGGTCTAAGGTTGCAAACGAATGGCGGTCTCTAGGAAACCGCATCATTTCCGATGTACCGTGGCCTCAAAGACGTTCTGTCGTT